TCGAACCAGGTCATGTTCTAAGTGTAGTGAATGTATTAGCGAATGAAATAGCCAAAAGTCCTTTCCCTTATAAAGCTTACGGAATATTAAAGACAAAAAATAAACCAGGAAGCACATAGAGAAGTGATGACTTTGAGAAATCAAGAAGGGAGAGCAGGCAAGCAGACGAGGAGGACCCAGAAGCTTTGAAAGGAAGAGAGAAGTTGGGCGTGGTGGCTCATACCTGTAATTCTAGCACTTTGGGAGGCTGAGGCAGGAGGATCACTTGAGCCCAGGAGTTCAAGACCAGCCTGGGCAACATAGTGAAACCCCATCTGTAAAAAAAAAAAAAAATGAAAAAGAAAGGAGAAGAAAGATCGCTCTTCTATTCTAGTAGGAGAGGAGGCAGAGAAAGAGTGTACAGGTGCAGATTCAGGTAAGATTGAAGAGAAGAAAAAGGGAAGGAGGCTGAGCGCAGAGGCTCACACCTGTAATTCGAGCATTTTGGGAGGCTGAGGTGGGTGGATTGCTTGAGCCCAGGAGTTCGAGACCAGCCTGGGCAAATGGCGAAATGCTGTCTCTATAAAAAATTATCTGGGCATGGTGGCGTGTACCTGTGGTCCAAGTTAATCAGGAGGGTGAGGTGGGAGGATGGCTTGAGCACGGGAGGCAGAGGTTGCAGTGAGCAAAGATCAAGGCACTGCATTAAACGGGCTCAGTAACAGTGAAACCCTGTCTCAATGCAAAAAAAGAAAAAGAAAAAGGGAAAGAAAGCATGTTGGAGGTTTGCAGAGAGAGAATAGGGTGTGATTAGTTGCTTAGAAAGTGAAATCGTGATTCTGAATGACATTTTTGTAAGGAAAAAAGTGGAAATGCGAAGTTTCTAGATATCTGCAGTGTGATTGCCAGGGAACGCCTGAGGAGTTTTGTGCCTGAGTTGAAAGGGAAACAGTCCTCTGTTTATCTGATTTCTTCTTCTTCCAGTACAGGCACCAAGTAGGTGGAGGGATGGGTTCAACCAGGGCTTGAGTCTTGCAGGAGAGGTGGTTTTAGGAATGTCCATATATTCTAGATACTCCTCCTTTCAAGACATGGAGCCTACTTCCCCTCCCTGTGAATGTAAACGGGACTTAGTGACTCCTAAAGAATAGGATCAATGAAAGTGATGGGGAGAGGCTTAGGAGACCTGGCACAAACACATTTTGGCTTCCTGCCTGCACTGTCTCTTGGATCTCTTGCTCTGGGAGAAGACAGCTGCCGTGTCATGAGACACTCAGCAGCCCTGTGGACAGGTCCACATGGTAAGGAGCTGAGGCCTCCCAACCAACAGCCTGTTAAGTGAGCCCCCTGGGAAGGCGATCCTCCAGCCCCACACAAGCCCTCAGAAGATGGTAGTCCTGGCCAGCATCTTAACTGCAAACCTCATGAGAGACTGTGAGGTAGAACCTCCAAGTTAATGCTCCCAAATTCTTGATCTACAGAAACTGTGAGATAAGCGGGGCCAGGTACAGCAGCTCATGCCTGTAATCCCAGCACTTTGGGAGGCTGAGGCAGGTAGATCACCTGAGGTCAGGAGTTCGAGACCAGCCTGGCCAACATGGTGAAACCCCATCTCTACTAAAAATATAAAAATTAGCCAGGCATAGTGGTGGGCACCTCTAATCCCAATTACTCAGGAGGCTGAGGCAGGAGAATCACTTGAACATGGGAAGCAGAGGTTGCAGTGAGCTGAGATTGCATGATTGCACTCTAGCCTGGGTGACAAGAGTGAAACTCTGTCCCAAAAAAAGAAAAGAAAAGAAACTGTGAGATAATAACTTTTTTTCTTTTTTTAAGATGGGGTTTTACCATATTGGCCAGGCTGGTCTTGAACTCCTGACGTCTGGTGATCCACCCACCTCGGTCTCCCAAAGTGCTAGGATTACAGATGTGAGCCACCGCGCCCGGCCGAGATAATAACTTAATAAATTGTTTTCTTCATTTAAACCACAAAGTATGGGGTGATTTTTATTTATTTAGTGCAAAGCTGACACATTCCAGATGAGACTCCCAAACTCTAGCTGCTGTCTCAACAACTGGCCCCGAAGACTTTCTGCCCGGTCCCTGCCTCTCCTGGTGCTCCTTGCCACAAGTCCCTACTACATGGTGTGATATGGACTTGTGGGGTCTGGTTCACTGCACATGGCAAGATGTACTCTCTGCAATCATTGAGATTGTTCGGTTTTGTCCTCTAGTCTGTTAAGGGGGTAAATCAGATTAATCAATTTTCTCAACTCTAATTTTGTATTTTTAGAACAAATCCAGCTTGGGCACAGTTCCCTTCATGTATATTACCAGGTTCATTTTGCTGATAATTTGCTTAGGATTTTTCCATCTGTGTTTATGAGCCTGCAATATTTCTTTCTCATGCAGTCTCCATTAGGTTTTCATATCAAGTACAGTACCCTTATGACATGTGGAGGAGAGGTCCCTCTGTTTTTCAATACTCTGGAAGAATTTATACAAGATAGAATGATTTGTTTTCTCATTGTTTGGTTGATCTTTCTGGTGGAGCCATATAGACCTGGAGTTTCTTTGTGGTATGACTTTGTCTACTTATTCAATTTATTATATATATATATGTGCTGCCGAAGCGAGCACTATTTATTCAATTTATTTAATGTTATAGGACTAATCAGGATTTCTATTTCTCTTTGTTTTAGTTTTGGTATATTATATTTTTCTATAAGGTCTTGTTCATTTTTATAGACATCTAAATATAAAAGGGGTCTTTAAAAAGGTCATGGAAAATGCATCTTATGAAAAAACAATGCATGAATTTCAAAATTTTTTGGTACCCAAATAATAAGTTGTTATAACATGTCTGGGGCCGGGTGTGGTGGCTCACACCTGTAATCCCAGCACTTTGAAAGGCCAAGGTGGAAGCACCACTTAATCCCAGGAGTTCAAGATCAGCCAGGGCAACAAAGTGAGACCCTGTGTCTATTACAAATTAATTTTTTAAAAAATGTCTGGGTTGGGTACAGTGGCTCGTGGCTCATGCCTGTAATCCCAGCACTTTGGGAGACC